AGAAAGTTTGCGTTGGGGCTTCGCCTTCTTTTATATTACTCTTCCCCGGTTTATTTTATCAAGTTTTTGTTTTTCTTCTCTTTCATCAATCAGTATTCTTTTCATCTTTCAATTTTTATAAGATTTTTTGGATCCCCCTCTTATTAGCTTTTCTGAATCTTTTTCGGTCTGTGAAATTTTTTCCCGTTTACTTTTTGCTTGATGGTATGAATAGGCTTTTGAAATCTTTTTAACCTTGCCCTTAAACTGACCCCACCTTTCGTAAATTGAGTTTGAATATTCAAGTTCAAATTCGGCTTGTTTGTATAAGTTTTCTGTTATTTTTTGGTAGTTTATGCTTTAATGTTGTTTTTCCAGATTCCTTCTTCCCCATCTATGTTTTTCTGGTCGTTTTATTTTTATATATGGCAGGAGTGTGTGGTCTGATAGTGTGTTAACAACGTAGCCGCAGTCTTCTAGGAAGGCGTCAAGCGCACTACTATGATAGACTTTATCTATTCTCCTCCTACGGTGCTCCCTTACATATGTGTATGTTCTGTTTTGGGGTTGGAATTTTCTAAATGAGTCAAGTATCTTGTTTTCTGTGACGAAGGACCCTAATACGTTTTCCGCTGTAGTGGAGACGTACTTATTTTTCATCCACGTATCTTTTTCGCTTAGGACACAGTTAAAATTCCCTACAATTATATATTTGTTTTGGTAGTCGTGGTGGCTTATTATTTTTGTCATTTTTCGAAAAAAGTAGGTCTTGGGAGACACCCATGTTGCTGGTGCATTGGTGTTGTATAGTCTTAGGATATCACGATCAAGAGTTATATCTACACTTGCTAGCCTGAAAGGTATGTGGATGTTGTGGTTTTTTATCTGAAGACCCTTTTTGATTAGGAAAGCAGTTCCTTGACAGAAATTCCTTCTAGTCTGCCTATACGTCGTATTATCAAGTTTGTCAATTGTATTAAAAAAGACTTTGTAGTGAGACAACTATGTACAAATATAGGCTATAACTTTTTTTTTTTTGCCAAATATCATTCCATAGCCAATGTGGACATTTTTATGTTATAATTTTTGTAAATCAATACATTGGTTATAAATAATTTGGTTTCGAAAATTTTTTTTGGAAGACAATCGCATGTTTTGCATTCCAGTTAATTGCAATATAAATAATATAGTTTTACCATACAGATACAATAAATACATTTATATACACAAGTATTATATTTCCATCCTTTTTTGATAGTCCATTGTTTATCATAAGTCCATTTGATTTGACAGTTGTCCATAACGCCACCATAGTGCTGACACATATATTTTAGATTAGCATGGAAAAACAAGATACATTGAAAAATTAGACAGGGAATTTGAAAAGCCCATCATGCTGTTAGGATTTTCCTATTTCCCTGACTATGTTAACACTTGGCCTAAATATAAATGTGACCCATAAACCTATACAAATCCACACTTAATCAAATATAATCAAACCATTATAGATTTTTGAAGGATTTCATCTATAGTTTCATCAAGAAACAAATTTTCTTGATCACAGCTCGGCTTTAATTTAATGATGCCTATGAGTTTGCATTTGAGAATAGCCCTCATGTTGTACTGCATCTGATTAACCTCATCGTATTTAACACTATTTCTGAATTCCCAAATCGTTGACTTTGCACAATTTATAATTACCGGTAATAGTTCAACTTCACTTTGAATATTATTGAAAATTATTTTATCATAAATATTCTTATCCAAATTACACCATTCCCAAAAATCGGAAACTTATTCACAATAACAAAATAAATGCATGCATGTTTCTTCATATTCATTGCAAAATACACACAACCCATTTTCATTGTTAAACCAATATTTCAATTTGTCCCCTGTTGGTAGGCCATTATGCGAAATTTTCCAAGTTAATATTTTGTAGTTGTTAGGAATTTCCCCTTGCCAAATCTTTGACCAATCAATTGGCGTATTCAGATTAAATTTTTGTTTAATGTAATTATCATGTCGTGTAGCAATTTCTTTTATTTTTTTATTTTTGAATAATGTACTTATTGTTTTGGTAGTTAGGTTTTCCGAATCAATATACCTGTGTATTCCAGGTCTGTTTTCTGTTGTAATATGAATTATTTGCTAAAATTTCTTTCCAACCTAAAGGCAAATTGTTCCAAACTTGCTGAATTTTAAAAGAACATCTATTTAAATAACAAAGCTTTCTCTGGTCATTTCTGATTATATCAACCGAGTATATTTTATTTGTTAAAGTTTGTAGGGTAATATCTAAAATATCTGCGACAGAGATGACTTTCGATTGAATCCATTTAGATGAAAAAGTAAAATTTTGATCCTGAGTTAATGGATTATACCATAATATTTCCTCTTTTGCTTCACTGACATTCAATGGATGATTTCTTTCCAATTTCAAGTCTTTGAAAGAATTTATTATAGTGGTATAGAAATTTGGTATTGCTGTTGTTTTTTCAATTCTTACCAACAAGTGTAAGCTTTTTAAATTATCATTAGTCAAAATATTACAATATGCATTAATAAAGTAATTTGCTCTTCTACTCCATGGTCTATTTTCATTTTTAAGTATTTTAAATATCCATTTCACCTGTAAGGCTTTCAACTGGCTTCTAAGATCCATCATATTTAATCCGACTTTACTGTACCTTCCTGTTGTAATTTGTCTAGCTACCAGCTGCGTTTTATTGTTCCAAATAAAATTCCAAATGATAGATTCTATTTTTCTAACAAATATTTCTGGCATAATCTCGTAGTTGGCTATATGCCACAGTTTAGATAACATTAATGTCTTGACAATTAAAATTTTTCCTATCTTTCTACCTCTCCATAAATTTACTACACTCTGAATAGAATTTGTGATTTTTACCCAGTTTTTATCCCGTGATACTACACTGTTCCCTATGAATGTTCTTAGAATTTTTAACTCTTGTTTGATCTGGATACCTCTATATGATGGTCCTATATTATAATGTTTGGCTAAACCACACAACATAATGTTACTTTTGGCGATGTTTATTTTTGAACCTGTCGCTTTTTCAAATCTATCCATTACTTTTAAAAAAATCATCTATCGAGGTTAAATTCTCAACTGTCACTATAGTATCATCAGCAAATCCCTTGTATTTCTCTCTTGATCCTGTGCAATTCCTGAATCCTATAATTCTATTATTGCATCTGATGTTGCATGCTATCATTTCTGACATTAATATATATAACAAGGGAGCTAGTGGACATCCTTGCCTTACTCCACGTGTATTATTGAATTCTTTTGAAAGAAAACCATTGGTTAAAATTTTAGCCCTGGTGCTGTTAATAGGAGTATATACCCATTTTCGAAAAAAGTTACCAAAATCCATCTTTTTTAATAATCTAAGTAGCAACTGTCGATCAACTGTATCATAGGCTTTTTCCTGGTCAAGTCCGAATATTATTAGAGGTTGGTTTTTTTTATTTGCCCAAAAGATATCATCTCTTATTGTTAACAGATTCTCGTGAATCACCCTCCCTTCAATAAAGCCTGTTTGATCATTATTTATTAAATCTGATAGAACTGTTTTCAACCTTATGGCCAGGACTTTTGCAATTAATTTATACTCAAAATTTAGTAGTGTAATTGGTCTCCAATTTTTTAATTCATTTTTATCACCTTTTTTGTATATTAGAGTTATCAGGCCTAAATTTGTGCTTGGAGACAACCATAATTGTTCATGGTAGCTTTTATATATCAAAAGTAGAATTGGGCGTAAATATATCCAGAATTTGGAATAAAATTCACGAGTTAGTCCATTTAAACCCGGAGACTTATTTGATTTCATTTGTTTCAAAGCACTATCTAGCTCTTTCTGTTATTTGGCTCTCCAATTCTATTTTCTGGCTATTTGTTATTCTTTGTTGAAAATTATTTATTATTGTTTCTTGGTATTCATTGTCCAAATTTTCCCGTTTTTGGTATAGGTTTTGGTAAAACATCACTTGTTCGTTTTGAATTTCTTTACATGAATAAACCAAATTACCATTTGCTTTTCTCAATGACTTAAAGATTTTTGACTTTCAATTGGTTTTCTCTAAATTAAAAAAATATTTACTCGATTTTTCTCCTTCTTCTGACCATTTAACTCTTGCTCTTATCTTGGCACCTTTCTTCCTTTGTTTATAATATTCTGTAATCTTTTGTTCTGTATTTTGAATTTTTTCAAGAGTATTTTCATCCTCTATATTATTTTGCATCTCCCTATATGCGTCTATGTACTGTGTTAACAATTTGCTTTCCTTATAATTGTCTTGTATTCTTTTTAATTTGCTACAGTGAATTGCCCATGTTTTTATTTTTGCCTATTTTTGCCAAGAGTCCCAAAAAAAAACCTTTCTCTGCATCATCTAAATTACTGAGTTTGAAGTACCAAGCCTTCAATATTGAGTTAATTCCCAATACAAAATATTGGAAATCAATTCAATTCTGCATTGAACTTCCAGTATCTTGGTCCCCTTTTTATGTTGCTTAGTGATGACGTTATAATTTGAGTTGGATAATGATCTGAAAATGTGACTAATTGGATATCTGTTTCAATAACACTATTTAACTGATTTGTTGAAATATACAATATATCAATACGGCTCTGGACAAATTGTGAACCACGTTTTTGTTTCCAGTTATATTTTTTTGAGTTCATGTTTAAATGACGCCAGGCATCTAGTAGACTCCATTTTCCTATTATTTTTTCCAATTTTATCACACTATTAACCTTTCTAAAGTTTTTTTTCTGCTTATCTATCTATTTTATTAAGTACACAATCGAAGTCACCTCCAAACCAGATTTCATATAGTGCGTTGTTTAGCGAGTTGACTTGGCTCTCTATTTTATTATCAATCAACATGAAAAAAAATTTTCGATCCCTATCAACATTTGGTGCATATATATTAATTAAAATACAGAAAATTTCAGATATTTGCCCAGATAATAAAATATATCTTCCACTACTATCAATTTCTTTTGAAAATAATTCCAAATCCATTTTATTTGAAAATAAAATTGCCACACCACACGATAAATTTGAGCTTACTGTCCAAAAAGCACTGTCCTCCCCATTCTTTTGTCCAAGAATTTGCCTCGTCATCTGATGCACAATGTGTTCTCTGGAGGAAGACAATATCTGCACCCCCATTTTTAAGATAATTAAAAATAGATGTTCGCTTGGCCGAATTACGAATTCCTTTAACATTGTAGGTCACTATTTTCACTCCCTGTTTGAAATGCATTATGTATGTATATAATTATAAAGAAAAAAGGAAAAGGGGAAAAATAATTTGAAAACTCATATTTGAGCTAACACCTATAAAACACAATCAAGTAATAGAACAACTAATTTTTGGTTTTGAAATGACTCATTTTTCAGTATTATTTTATATAAATACTCATTTTTTTACATTTATTGCTGATCTGATTTTATGTGCTTCTTAGCTGTAGGAGGGCTATCATCAGTTGCCCTTCTTAGTTGTGGTTCTTCCAATCTTACATATTTGTTTATATTATCAATCACAGCCTTTGCACCCTTCCCACTAAGATGTATCTTATCTTGTAGGTAATGACTATTTATGTTTTTCTTTTCTGTAAAGCATTCAGGTTTTGGAATACATATCGTACCTTGTTCAATTGTTTCCGCTTCGAGTTGTTTATTGATTCGATCACATCCATATTTTCCAGACCTTCTTCCATGAAATGGTACAATTCCACATACATATACATTTTCACTGAATTCCCTTGCTTTAGTTATCATTGTCCTTATATCCTCCTCAATTTCCTTGTCCGTTCTTATTATATCATTTGTCCCTGCATATATGACAATGTTTTCATACTTTCTTTGTTCCTTTTCTATTTCTAGTGTCAATCTTTGAAAAGTGCCTCCAGCGTATGATCTTTTTACTATTTTTTTATTCTTTAGCTTTTTTTCCATGTGTGCCATTTGTGAATCTCCAATCAATAGGGTATCCATGTCTTCCTCATTGTTCTGCGTATTATTATCACTATCATCGACTTGCATTGGTGTTGCCGAGTTAGTTTTGTTTTCATCTGTTTTATTCTCTATCACAATTGCTTCTGAAGTTGAAACATTGTGGCTCTTTGTTTTCTGTTCAATTTCCTCAATGGTTCCCTGAATACTTGTTTCTGGAGAACCGTTTCCAGTTTCATGGCTCCTCAGGGTTCTTCTTTCAATTTCTTGACTGTTGCTTGTACTACTCTCATTCGTCTGGTTTGTATTTGATGTTTGTCTTTGCAACTCTTTTGTTATTTTATTAATTGTTGTGGCAGTCTGATCTCTAGCTGATCTTTCGTGTGTTGCTATTGAGTCAGATACACCTTCAATGTTTGTTTTTTCTTAATTTGCAGACTGTTTTCTTTTTTCAATGCAATCTTTTTCAAGATGAGGTTTTCCTTTCCCTCCACAAAACCTACATTTTTTTCTTCGAGGGCAAGCCTCGACTTTGTGGTTAAGTGAGTGGCATATATAACACCAGTTTTTAGGATTAGTTGGTCGTGTCGTATAATACACTCCAAATTCTTCTCCTGTACAATTACAAGGAAATCTGATCACCGGGGGGATATCACTGTTTAAAATGATTCTACATTTTCTGGTTCCATTTTCAGCACCATCTTCATCAAAAATTCTTCTTATTGATTTAATTTCTCCAAATTTGGACAAGATTTTATTAATTTTACTTTCCGGTACTTCCGATACATAACTGAGTGTTACTTCAGTAGCATTCGAAAACACTTCCTCTGGTTTAGTGTTATACTCTTTGTTTTGATATTTGTATTTAACACCATTTGTCATTACGCTGTCAAAGTTTTCTTTATTTCTCATTTTTATTCGCCAACAGCTTATCTTATCTAAGTAATATATACTGGATATACTTCCTTTACATGTTTGGTCATATATTAATTTTTTCATTTCGTCCCTTTTTAACCATCTGTTATATGGGAACTTGATATTAAATGTGTTAACTTGTTCGATGAAATCATATTCATCATCCCTTTGAGTTTCACCTTTTTCATTCGCCTCATCGTGGTCCTCTTCGCCCGACATAATTCAGGCCTCCTCCACCAGTCCACTTTCTGTCTTAGTCACAACGCAATAATCAGGCACATCTGTCTTAGACACGAACCTAACCTAACCACACTTCCGACCACCAGCTATAACATATAAAAATTTAAACATTTCTGAATTTTTCTTCTAACTCAGTTATTTACATATACATTCACTCGACCGAAAAACAGCTCCTTCAATTTCGTTACGACACGTGTTGCCCATGGTGCAGCCATGTGTGAAGCGTGAAATGACTGCCGCTCTAGACTTTCTGGATCTTTCTCACTCCCAAAGTAATTGATCAGCAGACGGACGCCTAAAAATTCTGGATCTTTCTATTCTTAGGCGCGAAGTAGGAAACCCGCAGGGTTTTTGTTGTTTTCGCACAGAGTCGACTGGTAAACTCAAACAATTGAGCCGAAAGTAATTTCACACAATATAATTAGGTCCGAATTGTTTGCATAGTCTTTTGAACGCATATATAACGGACTAAGTTCTCGTTATCTCACAAAAACGCTTTGTGAATGATCGCAAGATGTAACACACAGGGGTTACGTCGAAATCATATGCAAAGGCTTCCCACAACTTTTGCAGTTTTGCGCAGACTAAACCTATTCCGCGACGCGGCGGCTGTGAAAAAAGTCTTTAGAAAGCGCTAAATCCTGAAATTGATATGTTATGATTCCGTTACTTTTGATCAGAGTAAAATCGAATGCAATTGGGATTGACTATTATATTCAATCAAACTTTAATCGATGTCTTTTTAGTTTGGTTAGTTGAAACATTGATAGGTTAGTCTGACGGCGGTCTGGAAATGTCCACGTTTTCGTCAATTTGTCTGGCTTTGTTGTCGGGATTGCTAGTTTCGAATGTCTACGGAACAGCTAACATATACAGTGAGGCCGTGGAAAAGTTAACAGCTGCAAATTCGAAGTTCGCTGTGGATCTTTACAGGGAAATTATTGCACAACCCAAAACAGTAAATGTGGTATTCTCTCCAGTCAGCGTCTCAGCAGGTATGAAAACTTGTTTGTCTATCTTGTATAATAGTATAATGATATTATGAGCAATAATATCGCTTTCATTTGTTAAAGAAGTTGCGATCCCTTGCGAAATTATTGAAAATGGTAATATTATGACTTGTAATGAAATTGCACTATTTAACAGCTTTGGCAATGGTGAAGTTAGGAACGAAGAAAAATTCCACCAAACAAATTGCAGAAGCGCTTCATTTAAAAGATGTTGAAGCATCACTAATTAATTCAGCATTTGGTGAACTGAATGGACTTCTTTTTGACAAGGTAATTTTAGATTATATTAATATTTTCATGCAATTCTCAGAATCAAAAAATATACACATTACATTTTATGCGTTTTTACTTATGTATGATCTATATGCCAAACTTTTTTGTAGCCTAAGGACAACATCACCCTGAAAGGTGCGAATGGAGCATTCATTTCAAAGACTGTCAGTGTGTTGAATGACTATAAAAATGCTCTCTCGGTGTTTGGAGCGAAAATTGGAGATGTGAGTATATAAACTTACATTGCATGCTAATATGAGAGTGTTCATAAAATAATTAGACTAATTCTTTTTATAGTTGGATTTTGGGGACAAGGCATCCGTATCTCACATCAATAAATGGATTTCTCAAGAAACTGGCGACCTCATTCCAAATATGCTCAACGATGACGATCTAGATGCGACAACTGCTTTGGTCCTTGTCAACACCCTTTATTTTACTGGTGAATGGCACTCTGGTTTTACACCAATGCACACTGATAAAAGAGCATTTTATGTGTCGCATTACAGAATCATCAATACTGCATTCATGTATCAAAGAGGTGAGAGAGAGAAGCGTTTCATTTTTTCAAATAATTTAAATCAATTTAGGAAATAAGTATTAAATACATAATGTAAGTTTTAAGTAATGCTTATTTCTAATTTTTACAGGAAAGTTTCGTTTTCGGTATATTGAATCATTGAGTCTTCAGGTTTTGGAATTGCCTTACGTTGACCAAGATATCAGCATGTACCTTTTCCTGCCAGACAATTTTGATCTTGCATCTGTTGAGAAGAACTTAAACTATGAGAACCTTACCAATTGGATTTCCAACATGGACTACGAAACTGTTGATGTAAGTCTCAATTTCTTCAAATAATGTAATTTGTCAAATCTGTTATGAATTTTGATCCAGTCTGTTTTATGGTCATCAGTTGGGTTGGTTATGACAATACGGAGTAATTCAAATATATTCGTTAAAGTATAAAAAAACACGATTATATTTCAAATGCTTAAATATATACACGATCATGTGGGTTACAACCTTCATTGCTATGCAGGAATCACATCTTTACTAAAATCTCGATTAAATCAGTTTATCATTGTGTTGGTTTTAGATCACATTACCAAAATTTAAAGTGGAGGCTGGCATTGAACTTCAAAAATCATTGCAAAACCTGGGAATCAAAGATATATTTTCATCCGGCCAAGCTGACCTATCTGGAATAAGTGGTGACAAATCACTCTTCGTTGATGCCATTTTTCACAAAGGTGTACTAGAGGCAAGTTTGACATTTTTTCAGTTTGGGGGAATATTATTGAATACTAGTGAATTTTATGCAATTTCCATCAGGTTACTGAAGAGGGCAGCACGGCGGCCGCGGCCACCACTGTCCGGATTATGGCACGCTCAATTGATCTCGCAATCAGATTTTTTTGCTGATCAGCCATCCATTCATATGGTATGCTGGTAATATTAAATAGTAATATTTTACTTATGGTAATTCAGGTGAATCATCTAGGGGGATTGGTTGAGGCGGAGCGTGAGGAAGCCAACCGTACACCTGCTGACAAAAGAATTATGTTTTATGCGGATCATCCTTTCATCTTCCTGATCAAAAACATGAAAAGTGGTGTCATGTATCAGCTTGGAGCATTCAAACGTCCAGAAGGCAAGGAACAAAATCATGATGAGCTATGACCAGAAAGTTGCTTATGCCACCTGCACTGCTATCTCTCACAATTTTTTCCAATCATAATCTGTAAACAATTTACATGAAGTTGCTCAATTTTTCACTGCTTATAAAGCTGGTGCTTTTTTTGATAGCCATTTTCAGTATTCATAATTAAATTTTTGCAGTATAAATCTGGTTATAATCACTGGGACTACCGGTACTTCCTCTTGAACAGATAGACAGTGCATGTAGCTTTTTGATAGTTGGGGTGTTCAAGAGTTGCATTGGCCCTTATTTCCGATGAGCCTTGCATGAATCTGACAATGAAGCGTAGCCATATAGCTTGCAGCATTTTCTTAGAAATTATAGTTAACTGGGTGAGAGAGTTCAAGTTTGTTTTCTATAGTTTGGATGAATTACTGAGGAGCTATGGGAGATGGACTTGCATGCAATCCAGAATGGTTCACCAACTTTCAGTTAAATAAGTTTTGCTCCTGATTTTGTTCTAAAGTTTTGAGCAATCGGATTTATATCTGTTCACTAGGATGACACTATACAAAAGTGTACCCACCCGATGGAATATTATCAAATATTAAAATAATCTCACAATTGCTTGCTGCACAATTCACGTGTACACACGTAGAATTTACGGCTGGCCAACAATACAAAATCTGGACAGTTGATCAGATGTGAGAACATGCTCTTCGCCTTATATAGACAGTTTTAAAAGTCCTATCTAGGCGGTTCAATAAGAATATGAGATAATAAAAAAATTCACTGAACTGCTGTGACAAGAGTACAAGACAAACCATATTTCAAAGAATGTCTTATCCCAAGCATGACTAGGAACCTAAACTGGTAAACCCTCAAATCTTCATGATCAACAACAGATATGAAATATTCATTAAGTCTCCAATCATTTGGTTTATTTGATCAAGCAAACAGATTTGTTCTGGCTTCAATTGTCATTCATTAAGAATGCTGGCTAGTAAGAGTTTGACACATCAATTAAGTCCCCAAATAACAGTTGTAATGGTTCTTGTAGTATTGAAATAATATTTTGATGGCAAGTAATTGACATGATACTGCTATTATTTATGTAGCGAGAAATTTAGATTCTTTATGGCCAATGTTTCCCTATTCCTCTCCAAGCAGGAATTTGAATATTTTGCGTGTAGTATTATTGTGAAACATAGATATGCATATGTTTAAACTATACAAAAGCCAGAAGGCTAGTTGCACATATCACAAGCAAATGTTCCATTCAAGATTGAGTAACAAATTCAAACAGGAGTTTTTATATACAGTGGGGACAGGGGCGCAGCCAGAGGGAGGGGTACATGGGTCGTAACCCCCCGTTTGGAATCGTTTTTTTTTTAATAGTGTTACGTTTACTTACAATAATTTTATTCTTTGCGTTATCACTTTCGCGCAGCGTCCGACTTTATTAATCATGTTCACGATTCGTTATCGCTTTACGCGGCAGTGGAGCTAGCTGCCAGCGGGGGGGTTACAGAAGTCACAATCTTAGCTAAACATTTTTAAATACAATTGTACTACCTTTCACTTGACACAAATAGCAACGGACGTATCACACTATATAGTGCGTGATTGCCACCAGGTAAACACATGTTGATAATAAATAAATGAAGCACAACCGGTGTTAGCAAAACGATGTAATTTGCCGACGTTTCGAATTTCTATACAGAAAAACTTCATCAGGGCATGATATGGAAAGGACAAAAGTGGATATATATAGAGCAAGAAAAAAAAAAAAAGAAAATGAAAAAATTATCATGGCGTCAACTCTAATCTAAAAGGATAATGATAAGATAATATGTGTAAATAAACAAACTAGCGCAAGTTCAAACAAAAAGGGGACTATTTAAACAATGATTTATATACAGGCGGGAAAAGTGTGGTTTCACTATAGCCGTCAAAACTATTCCGCAAGCGCGCTCTCGCCTCGACACATTCAACGATTTCACAAGCGCGCTCTCGCCTCGCCACATTCATATTTTTAATCACATACGTTATCGTTGTTTATCGCTAATTACGAATTTTAGTTATGTAGTGTATCTTTAACCAGCGATGGCACCAGGTTCATAAGCAAATAACAGACAAAATGAATTATTGGAAATCTATGGTTCATTAACAAAGGATTGCCAAATGTGGCAGCATCGAAGAAAAAGTGTCATAAAATAATATTCAATCTTCGAAAACAAAGCATTGCAAAATAATGTTCAATCTTCGATAAAACAAAATATTACAGAATATTGTTCAATCATCTTCGATAAAAAAAGATTACAGAATAATGTTCAATCTTCGAGTAAAAAGTATCGCAAAATAATGTTCAATCTTCGAGAAAAAAATATTACAGAATAATGTTCAATCTTCGAGAAAAAAATAATTCGGAATAATGTTCAATCTTCGAGTAAAAAGTATCGCAAAATAATGTTCAATCTTCGAGTAAAAAGTATCGCAAAATAATGTTCAATCTTCGAGAAAAAACATATTACAGTATAATGTTAAATCTTCGAGATTTTTGGGTAGCAAACTCGCTTGGAATCGTCGTTCTCAATCAGTACGATACATGAGCTTGTTTTCAAACGATTGTAATCGTTTTATGAAGTTATAAATACGGGAACATCAAATATATTTATTTTGGAAATGAAATTTCGTGATGCACTAAATAGTTTATGAATCATTGGCATTTGGCAAATACAGGGGGAATACTGCAGCAAAACGCTGGATCTCGAGTGGGCGTTAACGAATCAAGTTGCCGCAATGGAGCGTATCGCGTCAGACACTCCTCATTGGTCAAGGCTTTGGTTGCGCATCATGGTATGTTAGTCGTTGGGCAAATATATATCATTAATTTATGCTATTTCTTCATGTTTCATGATTGCTAATATTTCATTCTGTTCTTATTCTCCATTTTTGCGTTATTTTAGTTAAAATCATGTGTGGCAATTTATTTAACCGTTGACAATGGGGTAATAATCGGCGATTACTAGAAGGTTGAAATGGGACATGCAAAAACAAAATAAACAAATTGACGCCTGTCAAAGGGGGCGGGTTCTGGCGACAAAGAGCCACATGTGTCGGTGTTTCTCTATAATCGGCATCACTTTGAAACTCTAACACGCAAGGACACCCCTCGGAGTGTAGACTTGCGTATAGGGAAATATTTGATTACGATTGCTGAATAAGCGGAAAAAACAAATTTATTATTTTCTTGCCTGAAACAACGATAAACCAATTTAACCCTGTTGCCAAAAATAATAGCATGTATTATTACAAACTGGTAATAATATGTTAATTGAAATGAAACGCATTGAAATGAAAAGTTGAATATTCATGACCGAAGAGAATGGTCGGCGATTGCTGAAAGTAGGACATGCAAAGAAAGGCTAATGAGACATAGCGCCGCACATGTTGTTTTGCCATCATCGGAGCATTTCTTCAAAGACCTATAAACGCGTTCTTATTTCACCCCCCCCCCCCCCCCCCATAAAAAAAATCCTGGCTGCTCCCCTGAGTGGGGAGGAATGGAGGATTTGAAAAATAGACCAAAAATTGCACCAAAAAAAGATTGGAAACCACTTCACTAAGGCTTCCCTATAACAATGTACTATTGTCAGCTTGAACTGTCAGGATGATAAGTTGCTTGCTGAATGTTAACAGTTTTTAACAATTCACAAATATCATCATCTCTGAATCTATCTGCAAACGAATTTATCATGCCTGAATAGGTGGCAGGATAGGAAACCAAATTAATTTTTTCACTTTTATTTATGGTGTTATCTTGAACAAACAACTTTCTTGGTTGACGTCGTAAGATGACGTTCTGTCTCAGTTTTAACATGTCAGGTTGTATGTCAGATCCCACAGTTGCATATTTCTGCCATATGACTCTGGCAGTCTCACAATCGCCATGCGATTTGTAGACTTGCAGTTTGCACAAGAAATCACCAATTACTTTTTGACCTTTGGTCTCTATGAGTGAACGATCGAGAGTGATAAGAGCATCTGTCTTTCCGTCATTTTTGCATGTAGTGTGCATAACAGTCACAATACCAACCTTCATCAAAACTCTGAGAATGACATATCTTGCTTGCATATGAGCTTGCCTCCATGTTTTATTTTCTGGGGTGTAGTGCAGAAGTCCTTGAACTCCTGCCCAAACCATATTTAGCCAATTGACATAAATGATATCATCGGCAGATTATCCTTCATGTCCAAAAATCTTGAGTGCATCCCTGTTGAGGCACAGGTATAATCCCACACATTCTGCCCTACATTCCTCATATGGTGAGGAAAGTTCAACAAATTTGCTATCCCACGTTTCACCAGATTTGTACCATTTTTCGACTAATTTATTTGTCAATGAATTGATGACTTTCTCTTTATCACAATTCATGGTTCCATATTCCTTTGTGCGAAACAATTTCCCACTGCCGAGTCCTAACAACTCATGCAATCCAACTTGAACTTCAAGAGATTTACTTTTGTAATCCTTAAAAATAGCCTTCATCGGAAAGAAACTTTTTATTTTACAGATGCAGATAACACATTCTCAAGTGATACATTCTCGAATCCTTCCGACTGACGAGTGTCATCATAGTTTGGTATATTGATACCAGCAGGGATACCACTAGAGAACGACCACAACATGAGTGTGAAATTTGTTGCAAAACATTCACTCAAAAGAATCACTTGACAGCCCATTTACGATTGCATTTTTACGATGAGACACAAAGTCAACGTAAAAGTGAAGATTGCGAAAAAGTACTCTTCGACATGCGGAGTAAAACTATTCACATGAGACAACACACAGGGAAAAGACCATATAAATGCGATGAGTGTGGAAAGGGCTTTTGTGACAAAAGTAACTTGAGAAAACATATGAATCGACATACAAAAAAATTTGTCTGTGAAATCTGTGAACGGCAATTTGGCTGCAAGTCTCATCCTAATCATCATATGCTTACACATACAAAGAAGAAGAGATTTGGATGCACAATTTGCGATAAGTTATTTGCACGTAAAGAGAATTTAAAGTTGCACATGAGAAGACATACTAATGAATATCAATTCAAATGTGAAATATGTGTCGTCATCAAGGTGCAGCAATGCGAACTGAATATTCATATGCACGGGTGAAAAACCGTTTACCTGTAAATCATGTGGAAAGAGATTTAGTCAACAAGGTAGTCTGACTGTTCCTTTGCAAACAGTACATTCCAACGCAAAGCCTTATGAATGTGAGATATGTGGAAAGAGATTTGCCGTACAAGCATATGTCAACGCCCATATAAAGCGTAACCATTCGAAATGCAGAAGTGTTTCAAATACAGACAAAGTTGAACAAGAACGTATTGATCACATGTATTCAGAGAGCACTGTTATTCCTCATGAGTTCGATCAAAACGAAGAGACGTCGCAGCCTAAATTACAAACACCTCAGTAATTGAAATCAAAGAAGAGTTGCACTCAGGATCTGACCACGAATAACTTGATTATATGCGCAAGGTGTTATGAACATGCTCACGCCATTTATTCACTTATGCCACCCTTCTGATAGATGAAAGTTTTGCTCGTCCTGGGACATGAACCTCTCTCAGGAAAAATATTTTTTTATACACAACTGATGTATTTGAATCAGAATGTTCGTCAGTGAATAAGATTTGATTTTTTTCCTTTGGTTAGAATACATATTCGGTCCTCACCACCATTCATGATTTGGAATAACAGCAGCAAATATCAAGCGTGACTCGTACGAAGAAAACTTCAAAATGAACTAGTTATCTTGTAGTGTATATAAATATTTTTGGCGCTTCCGAAGTGCACCAAAATGGCGCACAGCCTGAACCTTAACCCGGTACACATTAGAGATGTACCGATGTATCGGGTATCGGTATCGGCAATATCGGCCATTTTTTCGGTATCGGCCAAGTATCGGTATCGGTTAGATTAAGGCCGATATTTCCGATATATTTACCTTTTTCATATGGTCCAGAATGTTTTAAAAGATAAGTTGGAATACTACTTTTTAATTTATTTTTTGTCTGGAGAGATCGTGAGCTATGAGCCATACATGTCCCCACCCTTGCGAGAGTATAGGATGCACGTGTTTTTAGCTATTTATCAGCCAAACTAGCTCATCTAATTTGGCTATTTTCGCTGTCAAATTTTTATATTGACATTTATAATATTACATAGTAATTATGAAGAAATATAGACTGTTTGTCGTCAAGTACGAGTGTCATTTAGTCCGTCGACATCGATAAACTAAATTCCGACACAATTATCCCTCTACGCAAGTATTAATTTTAATTTTTCAACTACACAATACCTTTATAGATATATTGATATGACCGCCTAGCCCTAGACTGTCTCAAAATATATGATAGCAATTGTATAATAATATAAAAGGGTAAAGTAAAAAAACATCCTCGACGGTTATAGGTAGGCCTTCTTTTGGTCGGTGCTGATTGATATTCTTTCATGTAGGCTTTGACCTATTGCGTCGACGATTACGATTAGCCACGAAATAAAATATTTGTAAAATGCTTTTAATTTGAACGTAGGACGGCGGCGCTAGAATGTGTGGGTGATATTCGATATTCTTTCAAACACGAATAACGATATTCGAAGTTTGCGATATTAACATTAAATTCAAATTGGACATCCCGGCTTCTGAGTTTTCTAATTGAACACCGAGATTACTAGCGTTACTGTGCAATGTATCTTAATCAGTTAAAGCATATGGATACTAAACATTAATTTCATATTATGTGATATATCTTTTTTTTCGATCTGAAATAATGTGTACTATGAATAACGCTCAAAAACCATTGTTTTAACCCGTCTGCCCTACACAGCACACCTAATTAAGTAATAATTACATAGTATCGGTATCTGAATATCGGTAATATCGGCCTTTTTGTAGTATCGGCGTATCGGTATCGGTATCGGCGTTTTTAACTGGTATCGGATCGGTATCGGTATCGGTGACAAAAGTGGTATCGGTACATCTCTAGTACACATACTATGTTCGGGTTGTGCGCCATCTTGGTGCACATAATTCTGGAGATCCATATTTTTTTTATTGTTGACTCAAAAGTGTATTTTAAATTGAAACAAATGTTAAATTATGTGTTTATGTATATTACTGCAATAAAAGCCACCACGGTGGCCTTGTACAACAGCTTACTACATAAACGGTGGAGGAGGGGGGGGGGGGGGGTATGAGCTTTGCATGCAAAATATGAAAACAAAATAATGAAATTGAACTATTGGCCATTGTGGTCTATCTCGCACAAAACATTGCCTCACATGCAAGTCTGCGGTTCAACTCAAGACTTGGCTCATATAGGCAAATGGTTTAGGTAGACTCATTACTTTTTAGTATGAATCAGAGCGTATTATAAAAATGGGTTCCACAAGCAAATCGTATGAAGGGGGCGGGGTTGGTAACCACCGATCTTGTTGTTTAGCACACATTTAGACCGATCGCGGTCAGGATAAATACATCAGTTAGTAACGGCAAACGGCGATTGTTTCGTAGCGGGATAATGGCATTTGTATGTAGAATGAAAGGGAGTGATTTATGCGAATAAAATTGCATTGGTGTCAAAATTAGAAGAAGTCCGTACCACCACCTCAAAACCAAACACCCAAAAAAATTATTTGTCGTCGTCCAAATGCGCGAGGGACACGACTCAAAGAAAATTTTGGTGACATTGCTTTCAATATACTTCGGCTGTAGTGAGCACTGATATGGACGATTTGTCTATTAAACTATTTACAGGGAGCGGTGAATTTTATATAAGGTAAGGTGTGTTTCGTAATTTTGGTTTGTTTGTTCCGGTTATCTACCATCGAATTGCGCTCTGGTCGACATCGATGTGGTCATTGGTCGAGGATAATTATAGGAATAAATTTGCAATTCAAATTTAATTCAATATGATTATTATCTTACGTGTAGGCTTTGATCATCCTTATCGCCAATAAGTACAATATCTTTGCTACTGGCTTCGGTATACGTTTTTGTTCTGTTTGTACTTTGCAATCGTGTGTATGTTATCTTTGCGTTAAATAAAATTTCTGAAATTTAGTCACTGCGTAAAAACGTGTTTAGATATTCGCGATAGCTTTGTGCAATCCAAGCGTTTGATTCAGCGACGCGCAAATGCTAACGTAAATCAGAACTGGTACATATATATATTTGAGTATGGGCCCGCAATGAGTTTCCTCATCTGAAAGTTGCCCGCGGCACAAAAAGGTTGGACATGCCTGTAATTATTTCATAACACTCAGACAATCTCACGGGATTAAGAGAAACCAAACCACTAATACTAAAATACAGCTTCACAAATGATTTTCGAGTTTATGAGCTTTACATAAATGATATGGAAACAAAATAGTAAGTCAGTATTGGGTGTTTTCAATCCAAATGGGTTTCATAAGCAGCAAATCGTACGAGGTGTTAAGGTTGTGAAGGTTGGTAACGACTGATCTAGTAGTTTTTAGACTGATTGAAGCATGCAATCAGGTTGCAAATCATCAGTTAATACGGGTATAAAGAGATAGTTTTGGACAGGGCTGTTGCAATTACCCAATCAAACCATGGTATCTATAATAGGGATGGCGAACCACTGATCGACGAGTCACATAGTAACCCACCGCGATCACGGAATAATGCAAAAACATACTAATATTTCAATGATAATAAAAACAGCTTCAATATAATTTTACATGAAACGAATTGTTATAAGTGTAGTGGCAATTATTATGAGTGTATTGAGCTGGTTTAGTAATTTTCGAAACCCCCAATTCGGACGACGTATCTGGGTCCATGTATAATCTTATGTAGCTACTGGTTGTCACATCTAGCCCAGTGATCGACAAACTTTATGTACCTGCGGGCCAAACATTCACTTTTCCGGTAGCGTGTGGAAAACATATAATTCTATAAGAGTGGAGTTCCCGTCCAAGCTCTTAGAACCACAAAAATGATTTACCGCTACATTATGAAGTTTCCTCTGTAATTTATTTTCGCACATGAATCTGCGTTTATAAAGTTCAAAAATACACAAACACATCGAATGTTTATAAGATTAGCAAGTTTCCCGTTGATTTTATATCTGTGGCCCACATTTTTCTGTTCTATAATAAAAAAAAAGTTTGACCAATTCATTAAAAAATGTTTGCCATTCCTGTCATGGACCGTCTTCTTCATCTCTCGTATATACTGTTTGTTATCATCCCAAATATCAATGAATGATCGCATTTCGTTGCACTTCGAGTAATTGTCACCGAGATAGGTCAATGATCTCTCTTTCCGTGTGTTGTTAAATATATACAACGGATTATCGAACACGTAAGTGGATCTTTTTAATATTATGTTGTTCTTGTTCCTTGTCAGAGGACCAATCCCTTTGAAACTTTCAGTGCTTGAGGATTGAATTTTTCGCTAGAAGGCTATTACTTTTATTTCTTTTAAATATTCCGTTAAGCTGTATTGGATCCGTTTTTTGTGTGCTGTAACGTACAAAAATTGCCACCATGTGGCGGTTCCGCGAACGCATATGAGCACAACGTGCCCATATATTTGAGCATGACTCTCCTGTTACTAATATATAGATTTCTCATTGTTGCATTGCAAAATACAATCTTTCGAAAAGAACTTTCGATAATGTGATTCTAACTTGAGGTCCGGTTATCTAGCACAGGGCTTCCCAAACTTTTGAGCTCGCGACCCCTTTTAATATATTTTTTCGCGGTCCTTGTTCACGTTAATAATTCAGTTCGAAATATGCATTTCGATATTTTTTTTTTAATTCTCAACTTTTAGTAGCCTAGTCAATAACAAAAACAAGCATGTATTTACTCAGATTAACGTTACTCGATTATTCAGTGTAACGGGTGCAAATGCTTTTTGCTGCATGGCCAGCCAAGCCGTGGCTCAATGTTTGTTTATGCAGGCCTATATGATGAATTACGATGTCTGGCCACCGGCATGGTCCTTATCCGGAATTGTTCACTCTTACTGATTAAACTAACATAAGGCAGTGGCTCGCGACCCCTTTAAAATATTTTTTCGCGGTCCTTGTTCACGTTAATAATGCAGTTCGAAATATGCATTTCGATATTTTTTTTTAATTCTCAACTTTTAGTAGCCTAGTCAATAACAAAAACAAGCATGTATTTACTCAGATTAACGTTACTCGATTATTCAGTGTAACGGGTGCAAATGCTTTTTGCTGCATGGCCAGCCAAGCCGTGGCTCAATGTTTGTTTATGCAGGCCTACATGATGAATTACGATGTCTGGCCACCGGCATGGTCCTTATCCGGAATTGTTCACTCTTACTGATTAAACTAGCATAAGGCAGTGTGGCGCCAAATTAACAAGGCTGACACACCTACACGGAAAATATGCTGCTCCAAAATAAAACACAATCATCGTTGATATTTACTTCTATAAAATCTATCGCTATAAAATCAATCGTGTTCGATAAACTCAGTTCAGCAAATGGATAAATACAGACTACGAAATTGCAACTTGCAGGGTTTACCTCTTCTGTTACAATAGACCCTACGTAACAGAAAGTAGACAACATAGAACGGTAAAATGAATTTGATCATTCTCATCATTTGCAACAATGAGAAACAATAAGACATTTACAATGAAAAATATCGAGGCGCACCTCGCCTCCGAAATCCGCTAGCTCAATGATTAAACCCTGCATTGTTATGCAAGCACGCGCAAATCGGGTCTTACGATCAAAATATGCAATATTATGCGAGCGCGATGATTCTAACGTGTTTCCCCGAAAATAGGACCAAGCCTGGATTTTAAAAAAAGTCCGGTGGAAGTTTGTCGTTTCAATTTTGCTAGGGTGTCGTAAAGTTTCGCATTTCGTGAATATTTCAACCAACCCATATCTTCTACTTTTACTGAAAAAAGGGAAGAATAAATCAATCTTGCCTGTAATGGTGTTATATTAAAAAAGGTTGATTCTGAAAATTCGGTTTTATGTAAATAAAGATTATTTTTCCTTGGTTCAAAAATCGTTGCGCACTCCTATCCCCTTTGCGATTTCGTATTTATATGAAGCAGGGTTTTTACCATGGTTATCATATCAAAACGTGCTATTTATAAGTAAATGAAAATCGGTATTCATATTTTGTATATTAAAAAATATCATTATTCTCTACATCCCCCCAAAATAGACCCTAGTGTTATTTTCAAAAGAAAATTAAAGACACTGTCTTATTACCGGGGAAACACGGTATGATGATGTATTCGCTCGGAAATTTTTGTTTTACACTATTTTTAATAATTGTATTTCGAATCAAGAGTCTGAAAGAGTACATTAAATATAGTACCTTGTGTAAAATTGATGTTTTCTTTGTGGCCCCTAAAATTTGTTTCGCGGCCCCTAGTTTGGGAAGCCCTGATCTAGCATGTTCCAAGAGATTCGATATTCTCCAGACACTCGGTCAGGGAAAATATACTAACAAATTTTATTAAAGACCAGTATTACTTAGTCAAATCTGGCATGTTATGGTGGATTTTTTGTCATATCTTGATATTAATAATTTTGGTATTGCAGCGATAGTATTCCAATTTCAAATAGCTAAATTAGTTTGACGCGAAAAAGTCAAGATAATGAAGTATAAACAAAACCGTATTCAACTTCAGTGTAATAATACAAGCTTATCTTAGGATGCAATGCTATCTGTAATATTAAATGAAAAAAAGATAAAGAATGCTTATTTTTAGAGTGCTCGCGTTCACAAAGAGTCTAGCGCCATGGACGATAGATAAACTTTGAGCCTTCCCGTTCTTGAGGAATCCAGCGCTGAAAATAACAAACGTAGTTCCATTCTAGTTTGAGTGTCTTATCTTAGCGATATTTACTTTGCACCAGACTGTGTATTATCATTGGTAAAACTTGAGCGCCCGTGTGACTTTTATTATCTGATAATTTAGGTAGACATTTTTACAATAAAACTATTTATTCGATTGTATTACACATATATATACACTTTAATCAGCTTCTTTCATTCAATATTCTGATGAAATACTTCCAGATACTAGCAACCAAAATGGAGAAGGATATAGAAAGTAAGTCTCACGAATGCGGTATTTGTGGTAAAAGTTTTCGTTCGATTAGTAAACTAAGAACCCATCAATTGACGCACACCGGGGAACGACCACATAAGTGCGACACTTGTGGCAAGGGATTTACTCAAAATTGTAACTTGAAACGCCACGTGCGATTGCACTTCCCTGATATGCCACTGAATCAAAAGAAATTTGTTAAACAGAGAAAGTTGCACGAATGCGGTATTTGTGGTAAAAGTTTTCGTTGGGTTGGTAATTTCCAAAACCACCAAAACAAACATACTGGGGAACGACCACATAAATGTGAAATTTGTGGCAAGGGATTTGCTCAAAACGGTCATTTAAAAAACCATTCACGATTGCACTTTCCTGATAATCCGCAAAATCTAGGAAGGAAGATTAATCAAAGTAAGTTGCACCAATGCGGTATTTGTGATAAAAGTTTCCGTTTGATCAGTGGTCTTAGAAGCCACCAAACGACACACACTAGAGAACGACCACACGAGTGTGAAATTTGTTGCAAAACATTCACTCAAAAGAGTCGCTTGACAGCCCATTTACGATCGCATTTTTACGATGAGACACAAAGTCAACATAAATGTGAAGTTTGCGAAAAAGTACTAAACGACATGCGGAGTAAAACTATTCACATGAGACAACACACAGGGGAAAGACCATATAAAATGTTGTGTGGAAAGGGCTTTTGTGACAAAAGTAATTTGAGAAAACATATGAATCGACATACAAAGAAATTTGTCTGTGAATCTGTGAACGGCAATTTGGCGTGCAAGTCTCATCTTAATCATTCATATGCTTACACATTAGACAAAGGAGAAGAGATTGGATGCATAATTTGCTGATAAGTTATTTGCACGTTAAAGAGAATTTAAGTTGCCAAACATGAGAAGACATACTTAATGATATCAATTTCAAGTGTGAGATATGTTGGCGTCATCAAGGTGCCAGCAATGCGAACTGAATATTCATATGCGTACCACACGGGTGAAAAACCATTTATCTGTAAACTATGCGGAAAGACATTTAGTCAACAAGGTAGTCTGACTCTTCATATGCAACAGTACATTCCAACACAAAGCCTTATGGAATGTGAGATATGTGAAAAAAATTTGCCGCACAGCATATGTCAACGCCCACATAAAGCGTAACCATTCGAAATGCAAAAGTGATTAAATACAGACAAAGTTGAACAGGAACGTATTGACACATGTATTTAGAGAGCACCGTTATTCCTTATCAGGTTGATCAAAACGAAGAGACGTCGCAGCATAAACTACAAACACCTCAAGTAATTGAATCAAAGAAGAGTTGCACTCAGGATCTGATCACGAATATAACTTGAATTATATGCGCAAGGTGTTATGAACATTCTCGCACCATTGATTCACTTTTGCCACACTTCTGATGGAGAAAGTTCTTGCTCGTCCTGGGATATGAACCTCTCTCAGAAAAATACTTTTTATACACAACTGATGTATTTGGAATCAGGAATGTTTGTCAGTGAATAAGATTTGATATTCTTTCTATGGTCAGAGTACATATTCGGTCCTCACCACCATTCCTGCTTTGAATAACAGCAGCAAATATCAAGCGCAACTCGTACGAAGAAAACATCAAAATGAACTATTTATCTTGTAGCGTATATGAATATTTTTGGCGCTTCCGAAGTATGTGCACCAAGATGGCCCACAACCTGAACCCTGACCCGGTACACATAATATGTTCGGGTTGTTCGTCATCTTGGTGCACATAATTCTGGAGATCCATATTTTTTTAAAAGTTGATTTAAAAGTGTAACTCAAATTGAAACGGATTTTAAATTATGTGTTTTTATGTATATTACTGCAATAAAAGCCACCACGGTGGTCTGGCACAACAACTTCCTACTCCAGAGTCCATAAACAATGGACAGCTTTGCATTGCATGCATAATATGAATAAAAAATAGTGAAATGGAACTACTGCCCATTGTGGTCTATCTCGCACAAAAAATTGCTTCACATGCAAGTCTGCGGTTCAACTCAAGACTTGGCTCATATATGCAATTGGTTTAGATTGACTCATTGCTTTTTAGTATGAACCAGTGCGTATTATTATTGGGTAATTTCAATTAAAATGGGTTCCACAAGCAAATCGTATGAAGGGGGCGGGGTTGGTAACCACTGATCTTGTTGTTTAGCACATATTTAGACCGATCGCGGTAAGGATAAATACCATCAGCTAGTAAGAGCATACGCCGATTGTTTTGCAGCGGGATAATGAAATTTTCCAGTCAAAAATTAGTATATATTACCTATGTAGAATGAAAGGGAGTAATTTATGCGAATAAAATTGCCTTGGTGTCAAAATTAGAAGACGTCCGTACCACCACCTCGAAACCAAACACCCACGCTCGTGTTATTCAAACCAGCGTGGACCGAAACGTCTGCAAGCCATTCTATTCACCTCGAAAAATATACAAACGAATTCTGTTGCGTCCACGGTTACATGTCTTGTTCCTTTCGCGTATATTGAACTATTTCTTATACGCTGCATGTTATGGTGGATTCCTCGCCATATTTCGGTATTGCAGCAAACGTATTCCAAATTTATTACACCATGACGTGAGTTTGAAATAAAAACTTCAGGTGACAAGATACTTAAGTTTGCCATTATTCTGACCAGTCATGCAAACGAAAAATACTTCAATGCCTTTCTCGAAATAACGAGACTTCAGATTAGAATGTCATGCTATCTGTATTGTCGAGGGAACGCACGATAAAAAAAGCTCATTTTTAGGAACTTGCGCCATAAAATATAAACTTAAAGCCTTCCTCGAAGAGTCTAGCACAGGGTCGTCCAACCCGTGGCCCGCAGAAGAGTTTTGAGTGGTCAGCGCAGTATTTTTCTAAATTAAATAAACTAAACTCAACCCGATGTCTCCCACAAATTTGAGACACAATTGACTCCTTTCATAAGAAATGAAGTAAATTATTATTAAAAAAAAATTTTCCTCGTCGTTCAAATGCGCGAGAAACACGACTAAAAGAAAATTTTGGTGACATCGCTTTCAATATACCTTGGCTGTAGTAAGCCCTGATATAGACGCTTTGTTTTGTCTATTTCAGCCTGTTGTATTCAACCTCCCTCCACAGCGAGCGGTGAATTTTATATAGGGTAAGGCGCTTTATATATAGGATCTTGCGCTCTGGTCGACATCGATGTTTTCTTTATTTCTCGAAGGCCCACGAGTTTTGCTCAACAATATCGAAAGCTATGGTGCGATCATTGGTCGAGGAAAATTATAGGAATAAATTTGCAACCCAAATTTATTTATTATGATTATTATCTTTCGTGTACGCTTGGATCATCCTTATCGCCAATAAGTACAATATCTTTGCTACTGGCTCTGGTATACGTTTCTGCAATTTATTCACTGCGTAAAACGTGTTTAGATATTCGCAATAGCTTTGTGCAATCCAAGCGTTTTATTCAGCGACGCGAAAATGCTAACGTAAATCAGAACTGGTATATATATATATTTATTCGACTATGCGGCCCGAGTTTCCTTATCTGAAAGTGCCCGCGGCAAAAAAAGGTTGGACATGCCTGTTTAGTTGATGATGCTCAGACAATCTCGCGGAATTAAGGGGAACCAAACCACTAATACTAATATACAGTGGTCTAAACCAGTGATTCCCAAAGTGGGCGATATCGCCCCCCAGTGGGCGAAAACGATACAGAGGGGGGCGAAAAAGTCCAAGGGGGCGATTTTGAGAAACCTGTTTCACGATCGGCGCACTTAATTCTGTACTCTGTGTGCATTCGCAGGCTTGAATCACGTGGGCGATTATCACACGCGAAAGGATTTCTGGTCTTGTCTTCGCAGTAAGGCAAGGTAGTTTGCGTATCCCAGTGGTCGGCAAAATACGGCCGGAATAAAATAATCTGGCCCGGGACGATTCACTGAATGGACCTTTCCCCGACCTTTGACCGCGGAAAATTCTCCCCATACTTTACCATTTTAAAATTTTCGGTACTTATTTTAAGAGTGGTTTCGCGAGTTGTTGCCTGTAAAATGGAGTATTTGTTTCAAACTATCATTCTAATACACACCATTTAACAATCTGTTTTTTAAAAGTACCGATAAAGAATTTTAGCCTAGTCTTTCGCAGCTATTTCTACACTAATTTTTGATTGCTGTATTCAAACTGAAACTCATAGAAAGACAAAGTAATCATTGACTTATTTGATTTATATTTATCTGTCTGAGTGAGAGTGTCTGAGCGCCTGAGCGGATGCGAAGGAGGGCATTGTTACGTTTTTTGCATCTTGCTGATTGGCCAATGTCACGAAGTAAACAAGGAAGTTCATGCCAGGGGAAATATTCGAACGGCGGTTTTGACGATGAAATTTTTTATTTATTTATAATCTACGCTCGAGGAGTAAATTACATTTTTTTACGTAACAGAATTTATCGTAAGACACGTTTATACTGAATTATACTATATCCTAACAATTTAGTGAACAGTCACTCGTTTAACGAGCCTACAATTTAATTATAATTAGACAAATGAAAACACGCAGAAAAGTTGATGCTGAGTGCAGGGGTTCAATAGCGCAGTAAATATTCGAATATATTGCAAAGCAATAAGGAAATAAAATTCATATCCTATTCGAGAGATTGATCACTGCTTAATTTTTGTAAGAATGTATCTTCTCAAAGAAAATATTTATCAAAATTTCACAAATCATGCGGAAATATTCACTTCGATGTTTGAAAGTACGTATTTGTGCAAACCATTATTTTCGAAAATGAACATTACAAAGAACAAGCAAAGAAGTGGGTTTGGTGATGCCCATTTAGAAAATGTTTCAATCTTGGCGTCGTAAAGCTATCCAGCGTGATGCAGCAACAAGACAGTGTCACATTAAATGTCATTGTGATATTTTTTTAATAAGACGACTGAGTTGAGTTCACGAATTGTCGCAGTTTTTGCGCGCTGTTCCGTTTTCAACTTTCGAAAAATATATGCGACCCGCAAAATACTAGCAACCCTTAATTTTGTCCTGCGAGCGACATAAAATTTGCCGACCCCTGGGCCGTAGCCGATAGTCAGTCACGGCTTCTTCCACATCCGAGTCTATGAATCCAAAAACAAATGGCTGGTTAATTATGGACTGGTGATCGGACTGGAGACCGTGATAGGATGAGGAATCGGGGATGAATTTTTCCGAAGTTTTTTGGTGCAGGTCATCAGGCTGTACGAATGAATGAGATGTATGAAAATCATTATTATAAGTTTGGGAAAATTAACTTTGGTTTTATTATTTTAATGTGAAATGGGGTGATTTTAGGGAGTGAAATGCTGTAAGGCAAGAGTACACGGCGGTTTTTGAGGAGGTAGAACCCTGGATTCTTTCATTTCCGACCTATTATATGGTAAAAATGGGGTTTTCAGCCGTGCTACTATTGCTATTAAAACAACGAAATCACCTTTCCATCAGTAAACGGGGTAATTTTAGATATAGGCTAATAAAAAACTCGCTGAAGAACACCAAGCTCATCTATCTCATTAAAAAACACTATAAACTATGATTTGTCTTCTTATTTGGTCTGTAATATATTCGTTTCTGACTTTACATTTTTTTTGTAGTACAGGGGGGCGATGAAGTTGTATAAACTACTTTAGGGGGGCGATGGTCAAAAAAGTTTGGGAACCACTGGTCTAAACAAAGATCTAACGGGCTCGAGTTAATAAAACCTAGATGGACAGTGAAATTATTATAAACATCGATGTGTGAGGAAATTCTATGTACTGAAATTCCTATCCTAAGTCGAAATGATTCAATTATTCGTTCGA